TTCGACGACAAGCTGACCGATCAAGTTGGCAAGGCGCTGTTTTTCCTCACGCCCAGTTTCGTGGTGGTCGTCGTTGCGATTTTCAGGTTGCTAGGTTTCCAGGAGTTCGTGCTTTGGTTCGATCCTGCGGCTTCGGTGGTCTGCTGCCTGATTTTGTGCATGTGTATTCTGCTAGTAGGTGAACACGGTAACCAAGTTCTGAAACGGACAATATGTAGTGCTTTTCTAGCTTTCGAAAACGTGTTCATTCTGCTGTTGGCCGTCCCGAAGGCGGTGGATCTGAGCGACATAGAAAGCAGGCTTCAAAAAGCGGTAAGGTGTCGAATAACCCGTGCTTAGTCACGGTCGCGACGTGCTACCGAGCCTATAGTTTAGTTTCCCAACGCTGCGATCCATCGACTGCACATCTGGTCAGAGGGCAGGTCGTTTCTCAACCTCAGCGTTCATTTCCGCCTGAAAAGTGCCGACCTCTACGAGGAGCATGCCGAAGCACTTCGACAGTTTTTTCAGAGTTACGGCATTCACCACATCGTGCTACAGCCGGAATTTGAGGTACGGAGGATCGTTTACTAATTACAAATGCAAACAACAAATGCACTCTGTATTTTTTGACTGCCCTCGATTGACGTGTTAAAACTGACGGATAACTACAAAGAAGATAATGGTAATGCAATTATTTAATGAGGAAGGGACGTGGCACCAATGTTTTACCGGTCAGAATTTCAGTTATAATGAAGTCGAAGTATCTCATAGAATGGATGACGCGAATGTCCGGTTTCTCACAACGTACATTTAATTCGGAGACATGAGAACGGGGTTCGGTCAAGACAGTCGACACATTTTTGTCTTTCAGCATTTAATTTGAAGATTTTCTTTAAAAGTAAAAGTATCATCAGTTAACAACTAACATATCATGGATCGTGAAAAAAGTTATCGTTTCAACCGGAAAAGATCTAAAAGAAGGTTCTAGAACAAGACATTTTTATTCATTGTCGTTATGTGAAAAAAACAGATGAGCAAACGAATGGATTCATAAGCGCGAATGACGGAATCAATGAGCAAATCGGAAAAGCGGGAGTTGGCTCTTGGATTGTTAATGAATAGCTAACCTATCAATGACTGGACACATTAGTAAATGAATAAATCCGGCAAGGAGTACATAAGCCGGAGACAGTGCGAGCGAATAGACACGCAAACATCGAATTAAGCAGTGAATCACAGTACCAAGAAAAGACCGGAAGAAAGAGTGAATCGGTGCGTGAGTGAGTGAGTGAGTGAGTGGTGGAATAAAGGAAAAAATGTTTATCTCGCTGAGTGATTGGATGACTAAATAAATGAACCACCAGATTGGTAACGGAATGAATCAGTTGAACAAAAATGCTAATTCAAAATTCGGCAGAATAAACGAAACAATAAATTACCATATGAATGAGCGAGTAAGCAAGTGAATGGAACAGACGAACGTAGAGCAACTAAGTGAACGAATGAACTAGTGATAAGTGACGCAAAACTAACATATGAATGAATGGGTGAAAAACTCATTAGTGCATGAGTGAATGAACAAATGAATGAAGGAATTGACATCAATGAATGAACGAAAGAGTGGCGAAGGGACAGCAAGTAAAGATGCTAGAAAATCAACGAACAAATGAAAGGAATAATCGAAATAACAAATCATAACCAGCGGACAAATGACTGAATATGCGAACGAAAGGCGCAACGAATGGATAAACGAAATGATGAAAGAATGAGTGTATGACGGATTGAAACAAGACACGAATGAAAGAACGAATGTATGATAAGTGAGAATGAATGGAATAAAAAGCGAACGGTGGATGAACGAGCGAAAAGTAAATGGACAAACGTGCGAACGAGCAAATGAACGAACAAGTGAATAAATTATCAAACGAACAAATGAGCGAGCCATGAATGAATGGCCAAACGAACAAGTGAAGGTGGACATCGCGCAAAGAATCTGAATGATTCTGATTCCAACGCTGAATGTACAAAAATGTATTTTATTGCTTGAATCTACGAAACAACAATAGCTCATGCCATTGAAACGATCTAAATTTGTGGAATGCCCTCTTCTTTAATACAACCGGTTAGCCAGGTCTGAACCAGCATCTTTCGTCGTCTCGTCTTTTCTACGCCTCGCGTGAGAACGTTTTCCTAACAATTCCGAGCAAATCAGTGAGTGAATCATTGAAGCAATGTAATCTATTTGGAGGGAGATAAAAACTTAAGTAAGTGAAGAATGGAGGTCGCGAAGATGACCATATTATGAACTATAAAAAATGAGCTAAAGCGGTAGACAATCAGGAAGTTTTATGCAGGAAACAAAAGAAGCCGCCGTGCAGAAAATGCTATTATTCAAATGAGAAACAAAGTCGTTCTGAAGTCCAATAGATTTCTCAAATCCCTTTCCCTTGTAAATGCTGTGATTAACTCACAGATTCATTTGTTCTCGTTTCTGTTTAGGATCAGGTCGACGGCAAGCGAACCGGTTGTCTGTTTGAAATGAACGACACATTTTGTAACGAATCCGACAAGCTGTGAAAAGATGGCAATAAGTCAAAGTGTTTCAGTAGAAATTCCCTAATAGTAAACCGTTTATAAGTGCAGTACAAATGTATACGCAACAGGGTCCGTCGGCATTTTCTCTTACGTCCGTTGTTATCCGCTTAATGGCGGAATTTTCTGTTTGTTATGATGATTCTTTGTGCTTTATTTTCTAGTTGAATATTTTCTGAAGTTATGAAAAGTTTCAGTGATAACTGTGATTGTGGTATAACACTGCAAACCGTCTCACACTACAACAGTATGGTTATAAAGCAAATGACATTATTACAGTATTCGATGTGCATATTCGGTGTCTGTAGTTGCAATATGACATTTGCCGTATACGAAAACAGAATGCTGCGATTTTTAATAACTGGCCCATACGATTGAGGTTTATATTATTTTCTCAGTGAAAACTTTGACTTGGCAATATGCTTGCTCTTGCTGCTGTTCGGCCCAATGCAGAAAGGCATCGCAGGCGCTTAATTGCCATGGTTCCAAGTCCCATTTAAATGATTTCCCTAGACGGCGAGAAGCAAGAGGGTAGTGCAATATTCCGGATCAACCCGGTGTAAAGACCGTCATCCCTTTTATACTACCGCAGTATTACTGTGAGATAAATAGCTTTACTTTGCAATTTCGCGTAGTTATCTAGTATCAATTATTGAACGATAATTAAAATGATAAATTGTAGTGTTTCAGCATACTTAGCAAATTGTTTTTGTCATCTAATTCTTGAGCGACGTGACACAAATGCACGCTGGTTCAAATCCTGCTGTCTATTTGATTAATATATTTATATTTCGGAGCGCTTAATATCAGAAACTGCTCATACTGTACAACATGTTGCAGGTGATTGGCTCAATAACTAGAGTAGTCGCTACAGACCCATGACCGCTTATGCTTCTGCTCTTATGTCGGAAGATAGTGGCCTTGGTTTACTCTCTGTAAATCACCAAATCAAGTCAGTGCTCCATCTGAAACATCCCTCAAACTTCTTTAGCTTCAGCCAGCTAGAATGTATTATGAAAAGAAGAACATATTTCTCAGTAGGTTTCGTAATCAACGCTTCAACCGGCATTCACATATCCTTCAGACAGCAGCCGTTTCTGCCAATGCAGAAAATAGTCGGACTCTGGTGAAGACTTTCTTTTCTGACAAATTCTACAAGGCTTTGTAAAGTCTGAAAAGTCTGTGCGTTTCTGCTGCGTAAGCCTTGGCTACAATTATCTATAAGCGAGGTCATTTCTCGTCAAACACTACATGACTTCTTCACTGACCCTGTTGTAACCATATGCACTCGTTACGAATTCCTTACCAGTTTTGCCTCCGAATGGTGCAATTATTATAAATTATGGCCATCTTCAGTTATCAAGCGAAGACGTTCATCACTGTGAGGTTCCATATGGATATTTGGAGTGCTATTCCAGCTCAGGTTTTCCCCCAAATCACTTGCTAAATGCATCATTGAATTACATTAATTTTTCATTTATGTTCAGATGCAGTATTGATTTTCCGCGATGCTATGCCTAGTATTCAAGTAAAACACTTCAATAATGCTGTGATGCGATTGTCACGCAAGAGCAGTACATATTACAGTAATACTTAAATTAATGTTCAGGTAAAGTTGTCAATCACAGAACCAACGTTCTTTTGCTCAAGTACAGCAGGAAACATTTAATCGAGATTCAAGCACAGTACGCAGCAATAACAATTTTTTCGCTTGTGCTCATACACGGTTCTCATTTGTTTTCATTCGTGTCACAGAAGGCTCCGATCAAGCGAATCTGCTGTGGATGA